ACGCAAACTAAACAAACAGAAATGGTGAGAGTGAAGGATTTTCCGGACATGATATGCATCTGGCTTGCAAGCGTTCAAGAATCCCAAAAATATCCCGACGACGCACGCAGAAATGGGAAAAACCTACTATCCCCAGAGCAGAACATACCCCAGATGAGTCACCAAAGCATGCGTCTACAGTGGGATTTGTCGCTCCGTTCTGTCACTTGTAGAAAAGAGGACACTTTTTGCAATTACTGGGGGAATACATTTCGTCTTCTACTACCACGGACTCTAAACACTGCTTTTGCTATTTTATCATCGTATTTCTTCTCTTCAATAAAGCACTGCTGATAACTTCTCTATTCTTTTTTCATTTAACTCTACATGAACGTTACAAGTGGATATTTCCACCTCAATAATCTCACAGAAGCCCTACCATTCTTCATACCTGTATTCACTTCGAGACTGCTTAAGCAAAAAAGAAGAAAACAGAACCTTCGCGGGGCTTCCACGGAATCACATGGTAACTGCTCTGACAAGTCGCTCAATGACTCAATTTTCGCACTGTTACTGTTGGCCATATTCACTGAAAGAATTAAAACCACCAATGAACAGAGCGTTCAAACGGCACGAAAATGACCATAACAAAGTCCTTATTTAAAAATATATGAAAAAAAACCCCATAAAAATACACTTTTCCCGGACTATATAGTGAAATAACAAAGCATAAAACTATCTTTAAAAGTCATCGAAACATCTTACTCCCTTTTCCCACCTTTTTTTCTAATCCCAGCAACTTGCCCGAAATCTAACTTTTTCCTCTCGCCAGGCCCTCACTCTCCGACATTTCCTATTAGTGTTAAGGTAGCATCGCAAGCACGCAAAGAGCGAGCATTTAAAAATTAAATGTTCTTGATATTTTTGCTTAAGCTAAAGCACTGGTCGGTAAGATTTCTTATCACGGTCTAGAAACGAAAACATTCGGGGTAAGGTGTGTTGTGCTTAACGGAGTACAGCTTCCGGGCACGAGGAAGGCTACCTCAATCCCAGGCTAAGCCAGACCCAAATCTTGCCCCGTTCTGATTAAGTACGCTGCAATCACAGATTGTGAGTAAAAATTTAATTACAGCGTTAATAAAATATAACAGACAATCGCAAAGGAAACAGCGGTGCAAGGCGAGACGCATGGAGAAAGTAAGACGGCCGGTAGGGAGCAAGGGTCAACGGTGCGAGCACGGCGCACGTGGTAACCGAGGAATAATCGATAGGGCGGCAGCGGTTGCGAACTATGCACACATTGTGCACTTGAGGGGGTGCACTGGCCGTCCTTCAACCTTGCTTGAAGCCTCCTATCAAATACAACACACAACAACAGAGCAAAACATAGAGATCACTGTCTTACCTATCGCTAATGCGGGGGTCATACATTACAGGTGACGACGCTCAACACAAAACAAGCATTCCTCGAAATGTCTAAAGCCTTTGCAAGTTTTTCTGCCATGAGTAACGCTGAACTGGAAAAGCCCGTGGGAAATGAACGTCAGAAATGGCAGTAGACTGACCACTTCTTGGTAATGTAGCATTGGTCGAAAGAACTGGGAAAGTGTTTAGCTGCGTCGACGGGAAGCCAGGTCACGAGCTACAGCTATTCTGCGTGATAAGCACTCGCTGGTACTGTAGTGGGCATAATGCAGAACGTCGAACCGAAGAGTGGAAAATCAAAACCGGTGAATTTAGAGTATCTCATGCCCTAAAGTGGTCTCCGCCGGCCCTCCCCACCTCAAATTTCGCAGAACAGCCTCCCAACAAAAAAATTTGAATTGATCATATTCAATGCGGGCTGAGAACACTCCATTAAAATTTTAGCCTCCCAGTTTTCCTTTCGCCAAAAATTTTCACGGAGTCATGCGTGACAGCCACGCATGCCTGGAAGCTGAATTTGATAAATTTAGATTGTACTTTGTCTGGGAAAATCCTCCGTATACTGCTTTTTCATCCAGTGCTGAAAATTGACCTTCCAACGTTCTATTCAAACAGTCGACTCTGCAACAGCGAATGAATTGATAAGTGGAACACAAAACCTGCAAATTTGCGAATTTTGTCAAAATTTACATGAATCATCGCGTAAGATTCAGTGGATTTGAAAAACTGATATTCGAGACATGATTCCGTATAAGACGGACGACTCAGGTCCTAAAATTTCAGCTTTCTAGTTTGTCTGATTGTGGAGTTGAGAATGCGCACAGACAGACAAACACACATACAGCAAGGTATGAGTGCATATAAGCGCATACACACATACACGCACACACACATAAATATGCACACACACGCACACACACACACACACACACACACACACGCATACACACAATCCCGTGACAATATGCGTTTTGTGCAGCTGTTGCATAGCACAAAACGCATAATAAGCTTACAAAAGTCTACAGAGAAATTTCATGAGAACTGGGTTTCAGAAAACTGCAATAAGTTGCTTTACGCGGAAGAGGGTTAGCTGCCGGACTACTGCGCTATACAAGTTTCTGCCGAGTCCAAACACAGATCAACTCGGCTCAAGTGGTCAGTGGCCTGGTGTTTACAGCAGCACTGTGGACAAAGCCAGCAGCAGAAACCCAATAAGTGACCAAGCCGGCATGAAGAGCGAAGTAGATACAGCTAATATTTGAAAGGACAATTACGGAAACTGGGTACACAAAATGCACTGGCTTCTCGGAGCACTCGCTTGTGGGTCCAGGCGAAATGGGGTAGGGAGGCGGAAAGGGGAGAGGATGCAGAAATCACAATGCTGCACTAATTTAATTTAAATTTTAGTTGGTATGTGTTTATGTGAGATGTAAGGAAATAAACCCAGGCTGGAACGCACCAGGCGAGCCGGTGCGACCATGCGTTTTTGCACCAGACTTGAAATAATTAGGTTAACTGCATGAGTGGTTGTTTTTCTTTACACCTACCTTGTGCTCTCAGTACCCATAACTCATCGTAAATTTTGCATAAAAAAAATAAACAATATCCGCTTAGCGTGCCGTTTTTTGAAAATTGACCAGCCCGTTCAATTAAATTTTCCCGCCAAAAATTTAAGCGCCAGTGCACGAGGACCACGCACACCTGGGGGCTGAATTCGGTAACTTTAAGTCGTAAGTGGATTGAAAACATTCCCTGAAAATTTCAGCTCTGGGAGAGGGATACCGTAGTGTTTTGTGCAGGACAGGGACAGCGGTGTCCCCCTTAGAACAG